TAAATAAAATGAAAATACAGGATCTGAAAAAAAAAAAATTGGTTAGAACAAAAACCACCTTTCCCTTCTATTGCTCCCCTCCCATGAATTCCAACTGCTGAGATTAATTACATGGGCAAATGGCAGCATCAGTTAAAAATGGTCCAACCAGTACCTACCACATACACTAGTAATTCTGTCTTTCAGAGGAGGAGCTACTGTCATTTTAAATAAAGCTTTTTGTTGTATTGCAACTTATTTTGGCTGTCATTCTATTTTACTACATCATTTCAGAAACAGGTACAGTGACCTTAGGAAGTCCTCTAAATAGGCATTTTTTTCCTCCACTTCCCCCAGCTGATAAAAGCAGAGACTTTGTTTCCTGTGCACAATTACACCTATCACTTCCATTCACAGGAGCAAGGAAAAATCTATTTTAAACAAAAGGGGGATTTAAAAGCCATCAAAATCCTTGAGTGGAAGTTGCAGAATAATTCCATGATGGTTTTTAATCGTCAAGGCTGATAACTACATACTGAGGAACTCCTGCATTAACTCCTGACCCCTTGGCAGGGTCAGATGATGTTCAGCTCCTTAGCACACACAGCCAGGGATGTTTATAGGGCAGTGGTTACAGTATGCCTCAGAAATCATAAACAGCAGCATACCCATGCTCACTGTATTTTCTTGTTCTAAGTCCTTGCTTACAAATGCAAATGACATTTCTAGTCTACTCAAGTTCTTACACCACTCTCAGCACTGCAGTAACTGAGGCTGTTCCCATACCACAGCAATTGGTTGGTCATTAGTTTCCTCAGGCAGGGAAGCACAAAGGTATAAATCCTCTGTTTTAATGCCAGTTTTCTGTTCTTACAAATCTTGGCTTTAATATCAAGAACTTTTCATTGACACTTTCAAGCACAGTGTATAACCCCTACAAACTTAAAACCTATCTGGTCACAAAGCCCATGCAAGTTCTGAGGGCCTCTAAATATATTTGGTTATAGCTGTATGAAATTATTACAGAAGAGCTACACTCCAGCTTTTCTCTCCCCTCCAAAATCACAATAGCTGCTAATGAAGTTCACAATACTGTATAACAACATGCTCCAGAAAAAAAGCATTCCATGTGAATGTGACATGCAAATATTAAGACAGGACACCAGACTTCTTTTCTTTCCCCTTCCCAATGGGTATTTTATTTTATAGCATTTGCATTAGGTAATCAACTGAAACACTTAAACAACAGAAAGCTGGCAGCACAGTGAGGGAAAATGGAGATTATTTCTCAAACAAATAGCTGTGACAAAATTGTTTCAAGTTGGAATAGTATTGCACAAATGAATCAATTTACGGAGGGTGAGTGGGAGCAAGCATCTTCAACATGGATTGTGAGGAAAAAAGGCACTATTTAGCTGTGTGTGTGTTTAAAAATAAAAAGGTCATGAAGCACAATCCATGTTTTTCAAAATTACATTCAGTACTGCTTTAGAAATGCTCACAAACCTGTCTCTTTTGCAGAAGCTATGGAAAGCTGCTGATGTAAGTATCAGACAGTACAAGTGTACGAACATTTATAATTATGCTCCAGATAAGTCTCAAGAAGAGAGGCTCTTTCTATAAATACTGCTGCAAAGGTTACACAGTTGCATAGGCTTACAGTAAAGGAAGCATCCATCCAACTAAGCAGCCTTAAACTTTCTTTAAGTTCAATCTCTAGTAGTCATAAAATATGCTCTAACTTTGAAGAGCTAGATTGGCAGTGCACTTGAATCAGGCTTTTCCACTGACTGCTTAAGCAGCACAGCTCAGACAGTATCATCCACACACCTTTTTGTCACATACACCTTTAAGCATACATATACACATTAAGCCAGGTAAGCTTAATGGAAAATTTTAACAGAAGTGTAAAAAAAAAAAACTGAATTTTTCCCAGTATAAGATAGAATTACTCTGAGATCATCAATAAGCAAAAGTTTATTCCGGTAATGTAAAAATAGCTAGGTATCTTCAGAAAACCTAAATACCCAGAAAAGGCATTTCAAATGATCAGGGTGGGCTGGTTCTCCACATCCTACATTGTATAGCTATACATTTTAATGTGTGTTTGAAAATGAAGCCATAATCAGCATACCAATAAAAGGCAGATTGCTAGAAAATCCACCCAGAACAAGCAGGAATGTGCACAGAGGACATTCTGCATCCTAGCCTTGGGTCCGCTTATAGATGCACTAACAAAATAAAAGTGAAATTCTTGTTGTGTGGCTGCAGAATTATTAAGGGAAGGAGCTAAAAGCACTGCTGCTCTCCTGCCAGCACTGCCCAGAGTATCACAAGTGCCCCGAGCATGCTGTGGGCAGGGCTGTGTAGTCACCTGCACAGCAGGACCTCGTGCCTCAGGCTGACATCAGGAGTTTCAACAGGGCTAGAGTTGTGCACAAAATCTGGGTGGCACTTTTGTACAGAAAGTTCACAACAGTGTCACAAAATCTACTCTCAACTATATGTAGATATATGAGCATTTCAGCACCTTTCAAATGAACTCAGCCCTGCAAAAAGCCAATCTCACTCCTCTACAGAGAGTACAGTGACTCCACTATAAAGATCTGTGTTCAGGAGGCTGCATAATAGTTTACTGACCATACAACCTGCAAAAACAAAACTTCACATATTGCTGCTTTCCTCTATGAGTCATTAAGGGAAAATACATGAAATAAATAATATTTATATACCATCAAATATTTTTAATGGCAACAACTTGGATTGTTCCTGTTTCTAAACAGAAAACAAATAGAACAGATTATTAAAAAATCTGTAAAGCTCCTTTTCCTAAACTGTCTTTTAGGAAATCCAATTTGATAGTTGTAAATTCAAATTATTCTAAGTTCACAGTTGTCCTTAATGGTTGCACTAGATATAAAAGCAGATAGTCTTGTCTGCAGTCCTTGTGTGTTCTACAGATGATCACATTTTCTGAGTATACCTGAAATCAGTACCGCTCCAACTGTTGTTAGCATTTCTAAAAATGTTCCTAAAATTCTTGTTTGTCTCAACCATCACAGTTCACAGCAAAGAACAGGAAATTATAGCTGCTTAAATAAAATGTGTTATCTTACATGAACTATGAAAAATATATTGCTCTTTTAAAAGTAAAAAAAATTGCATTGTTCTATTGGTTTTGTTATTGGAGACTCGTAATTAAGAAATTCTAAATCCTGGAAGGAAAAAAAAGAAACATAACTTTCAAAACTGCTTACAGAATAGAAGTTGTTTCTGTAGACCCTACTGAAATCAGTAGAAGTTTTGTCTATTGTTTTCTTGTCAATAGAGAAGCAATTGTACATACCTACTTAGATGAATATTTTGCATTTTCTCTTAGCAAGCTCTTCAGCTCTCTTAGAGGTGCTCTGCTGAAAATTCTGAAGGAGATTCAAGAAGATAAACTAATCTGAATTAGAACAACATAGTAAAAAATCTAACATAAAACTATCACTGAGTGGAAATCTTTCCTGGGACTATAGATATTTATTTTACTTTTAAAAAAGGTGTCTGCTTTTCAATTAAAACTTTTAGATCTCCATTAACTACTTTTTGTGTATGACTCCTCAGTTCCTTTCATTAGCTAGGAAACATGTCTTCATGTGTGACCTAACACATCCTATATCCAAAGATGTTGGCATTATTATTATGTCAACAGACAAGAACAAGAACAGGAAGTCTTATGCATGGTTCATGCTATATAAATGGTAACTTACGAGAAGGAACTTCCCTGATTATTTGGGAAGAACAAAGAGAGATCTATTTTTAAAATCAGAAGGGAAAAATCTAAGAAAACAAAGAAACTGCAAGATGTACTTGATAGTCTCTCGTTATCCTCTCTGTAATTGGGCTGTTGCTTTTGGCTGCAGACATCCAGTTCACAGACCATTTTCCATTTCCTTTGTTTTCATTACAAGAACAAGCTGGTTAAAGAAACTCCACTTGGTAATTTTAAACTAAACCTTCAGCATCATACCTTAAGAATTTAAACCTTTCCCACCATTCCTTTCTTTGTCTCCTCAGTGCCTTCCCGATCAAATCTTGTGAAAAGCACTTTTAAGAAAAGGCAGGTGGAAGCTGTGTAAATAGTCATATCTTTAAGAAAATTCAATAGGAAAAATTCTTGCAGTGCTCCATGGCCATTTGCTATAATGCAGTGGCCCCAAACATCTGCTCTCAAATTTCAATTTACTTCATTTGCCAGGTGTTTCACATTCTTAATAATTGCAACTCACAAATTCACAACAGTCACGTAAGGCAGTTACATAAATACAATTATGTCAATCAAGTTCACTGCACCTTTCCCAACCAGACTGCATATGACAATTTTCTTCTTGTTCTCTTACCCTAATAAAAGGATGAAGACTACTTTTCTGAAAAGAAAATCCCTGGAAAACATTCTGGTATTGAAGTCAGAGAGGTCACTGAAGTGCATTTCAGCAATGTCCAACAGTTAACTCAACCAGGAAGTAGATGTGATGTTTTTCACTTCACACATAACAGAACCAGTGCAAAAAACCCCACTTTAAACTAATTACTTTAAACCTTTTGGTCCAAATACATAAAATAAGCAGTATTTACAGCATTTTACTCCTTTTGTAAATGCAATGCTTTAAAACACATTATAAAGCACCTCAGTAAAAATATTCTACAGATAAAAGTATTGAAGTAGTAGGAAAACCCTAGCCATACCACAGCTCACTAGTAGAGTCATAATATGGATTCACCAATACCTCAGTTTACAATTATTACAAAGAATCCATGGAGAAACTTACTGAATTTACAATTTTTATACCACTGTGTAAGGATCAACTAGAACCGCAGACAATACCAAATTTCTTTGTAGTTTTCCCAACCTCCGCCAGTGGTGGTGGTGATCAAAAAAAAAAAAAAAAAACCAAAAAAAAAACCCAACAAAATCCCCACTGCTGATTCTTTAACTTTTTACAATATTAATGTGAAAATGACATTTTTAACACCAATGAGTAGTTGTAATTTTTTAATAAAACCACATATATAAATATGGGCAATTCCAGCAGCAGCATTTCTCAGCAGAACATGATTAACCATCCCAATTAATATCATGTGACATGATTCACTAAAACAAAGCACAGATGTCAACCAGTTATTAGGACTACTCATACTGTATACAACCAAAATTTCCATGTTGAAAGCTGGGGAAAAATGATTTCCTCTTCACAGAAGTATAAATGAAAATAAATTGCTCTGAAAATTAAAAAGAGCATCAATAGAAGTGGTTTTTTGATTGTTTACATTTTCAAATAGGACTGCCGTGTTTTAATTGCTCCAAATTACATTGTAGATTTCTTCAGGTTAAGGATATTGACTCCCACTGAAAATATTAGTTAGATAAAAGAAATGAAGCCTTTGCTTCTGGATTACCAACACAGCTATATCCAAAGCCCTGGAGGTGATCCACAACCCACTTTTCCTGTATAAAGAAATGTCTTGGAGGTCTACAAGCAATCTAGTTTCCATGGTTGAGGACTAAGATGATGATGTGGCCAAAGATTTAGGTCCATAAATCTAATAGTATAGCATTCTTAGTTTGATTTAGGGTAAATCTTTTCATAGAAAAAGTTTTGAGCCAGAATATACAATTCTCCATCTTTTTCCCGAACTGCATGTGCTCTGACAAACTGAAATTGCTCCAGTGCAAATTCATAGAACTCATTCTCCATTTTCCAGATTTCAGACTGCTGTAGCTTGGCAATAGTTTCTTTTGTGGGAAGTTTTTTCTCAGTTGTTTTCCTAAGATGCGACTTCTTTCCTAAATGCAAAATGAAAGCAATAACTTCACTTTCAAGTTCACGTGCTCAAAAAATGTTTACAGTCCTTTGTTATTTACAGAGGTTTTATATTCTCAGTGTGTTGATAAACTGCATTAGAAGAAGCAGGCTTTAATCCAAAATTTATTAACACAACATGAAGAGTTGGAAACCTGCAGTCTCTCTCACTCAATGTTCATGAATTTTGCATCCATTCTTTCAATTCTTCCTGTTTGCTCTAATAAACCCAGGGAAGGAACATTCATTTAAGGAGTAAGATTACTCCATATAATGGACCTGGAGCAAAACTGGTCTTTCAAAATTAATTATTTATATGCTAATCTGGTATCAAATGTTAAGAATTTTAGAAACTGCAGAGACTTCTTTCATAGAATCATAGAAACATTTATGTTGGAAAAGACATTTAAGGTCATCGAGTCCAACCACAAACCTAACATTGCCAAGTCCCAGTCAGCCATGTCCCCCAGTGCCACATCTACACATCTTTTAAATACCTCCAGGGAAGGTTATATTCAACTCAGACTACCAAAAACCTCCCTGTTCTGGTGTAGCTCTCTGTAGGTCTCCATAAAAGAGAAAAAAATCTTGTTTTCGCATGATTTCAATTGTCTATTTCTAATCAAAATATAATCTCTACTAATAGCATTTAAACCATTATTGTCCCATCTAAATAGGATACTATAGTCTTACATAAATTATACATAAGCCATATCCCTGTTGCAGAGTTTCTGAGACAAAGATGACCAAAATGATGACGAGATTTTCCCCAAGGAGTGCTGCTGCTTTCTAATTAACTTGTTAATACTACATATCCAGGCTCTGTACATCAGATCCTTTTCTCCCTCTATTTGCAGCAAGGAGCCCTGCTAAGATAGATCTTCTCTTCATCATAAATTGCATGGCCAGCTCCTAGAAACTGAGCTACTTCTTGTAGCTAGGAGTGCAGGAAGATAAACATCTACTTCAGTCTCTGCATCCCTCAGGCTTTATTGCTCAGCCAACCAGGCTGCATTGAGCACAGGGCTTCTGAGGAAATGGAAATCTGCCACATCAGCTACTTTAAAAAGCTGAAGCCACTGTAAAACTTTAAAAAAAATACTCTGTTACAAACATATCACAATGTTACATGCAGTATACCTACACATCCACCTTTACCCCAGCCTTAAATATTTATAATTTGTGTGAGGCAGAAAGATACTTAGACTAGCATCACCCCTGACAGAAAGAGAGAGAGAGAGAGAGAGAAAGAAAGAACTGAGAATCTTTGAAAAGGAGTTTGTTTCTTATATAGGAGCATCATCCAGCTGAGAGGCAAACCTGGCAGAGACTCAAACTATTCACCTAGATCTAAACAATTTACAGTAAAAAAGGCAGAAAGTGGTTGAAAACTCCATGAATCAACTGTTTTAATACCTGTCCGGTACAGTTCTGTGGCACCCCTGAAGAACCGGGGCAGAGCTGCCTCCAATAACATGATAAAGTCTTCAAGCTCTTCAGTAACTCCCACTAGGAAGTATTCATTAATCAGATTGTATTTGGCTTGTTCCAAAGCCCATCTGCTTCCCACATTCCTAAAATGACAGAGAACAATTATATCAAGTTCCGATGTCAGCCAACAATCCTTAGTCCCTAGATGGAGATTACTTCACAACAGGACATTTGTATAGGAAAGGCAAGACTCATTCCAAGTTATAACCATTGCTAACTTCATTTCCCTTTGCAGTTCCTCTCATTTGTGTTCTCACCTAAAAATGTGACTCCTCTACTTATAAAATAGTCTAAACAAAAATATCCAGTGTGTGTGTGTATATGATTAATGCCTCTATTCAAGCAATTTTTTGGGGATTTACACTGTCTCAATATTAATACTCTGTCTCTACTTTCACATTAGATACCAGAAATCTGGCAAGAGCATACCTTCCCTTTTGCATCTTCTTTCTTTCCCTGCTTCTCCACATGGCCAGAGAGGAGACAGGTATGAACAACAGGCACTGAAAGAGGAGCTCCCAAGTGGCCATTTACTTTGCTTATGTTTGAAAGAACAAAACCTTTGACAAATAATTGCCCTTGCTATCACTCAATCTTTCAAAAACTCTATGGGGTTTTTTTGGGGTTTTTTTGCTTAAGAGTTTTTTAAAGTCTTTGCCATTATTATAAAATATTTTGCATTGACAGATGGACACAATTTGCTTTTGTTTCAGTTTCTGCTAAGTAGCATTGACTACTGAATATCTGGTAAACGTTTAAAAAGACGATAAATTTATCCTGATCTCAATTATTGTGTAATTCCCAGGAACTTTGGGAGCTTGAACTAAAATATATCCATTCCAAAAGAAGGATTCTGTAGTCTGACATAAGAGAAAAATGTCAAGACTTTAAATCTGCAAAAATGATTTTTAAAATTGAAAACATGTTTTCCCTCATAGCACTGCTGATACAGTATTGTAACATACTGCTAGTTTAAAGAAGTGCAAAACTGTTTCAGTAAATCCATCTTTAACAGAAAACACTCAAGTATCCACTGCTTCAATCTGTTCAGTCCCTCACACTTTTATCAACTGGACTACATACTGAAATTTGTTAAAGTTTAGATTTCAGCACTGATGTACTTGATGAACAAGCTACATTCAGCTCCCTACCAGCATTCTGAGCTGTGGCCACAGAAGAATGGAATTTGAAGCCAAAGTTTCTCTGGAGCACAGTCGGAACCTCCAGCTGCCACACATTCATCAAAGGTCTGGAACAAAGACAAAATTGAGCTGAGCTTTAAAATCTCATCTATGTATCTAACATCTCAAACAGAAAAACACATATATGATGTTTTAGAAAAAAATGTCAAGCCTTGCTTTCACAGTGTTATCAGGATGATCTACTATCTCAGCTAAACAGTACTTGGACAGTCCTTTATGGTTACAAGTAATGAACAATTGATCTTACCTGATACATTGATATACCTTTGATATAACTTTAGCAAAGGCTATTTGTCAAAACTAGCAAAAATAGTCAATAACTGTTGGTATAATTATTTTCCCCTATAAAAGAAGTCACTAAAGATACAGCATCAAATGCCATGAGGAATTGTGTGATCCTGCAACAGCTAGGTCTTTTTTAACACAGAACATTGTGCATTTTGTCTTTTAGATTAAACAAGCTTCTATTACATTTGAATAATGAGAAATAATTGCCATTTCAAAGGCTAATTTTGTTTTGGCAATCAGAAGAACTGAAAAGAAGTTGTTCACAGCATAACAGAATATTCCATACAATATTGCTCTTGATGTGGATACACTGCTGTAGTAACAGAGTTTCAACTGCAGTAACACAGTTACAATAGGAACTCCATTAGCACGGCAGGGAATTTGTAAATGCTTTACTGCGTCACAATAAAGGAAGCACTTGTGACACTTCTAATCAAGATATAAGGACTGTACCTAGGATATATTAAAAAATAATAGATCCCATGGACAACTTTTTAGATTGCTTCTTCAGTATAATTACAAGTTTCTGTTCAAAGCAACTATGTAAAAACACATTTGTGTAATTATTTGGGGTTAAGAAAAAGAACAACATGATTTGCTTTTATTTTGAGGTGAAGTTTATGAGATAATCTGAAAAAATTATTGATACTATGCCAAAGCAGGGAGTAAACTATGGTGCCTTGGTTCACATTGAACTCTGAGTTTAGGATAGCTTGTACATGTCACACATCATAGATAAAAATGCAGCTTAAGTGGGAAAACAAGACATTGGTATGCTTTTCCTAGCATAGTTCTCTAGGGAAAGTCTGCACTGATCTATTGTTAAGTGCACCTCCTAAATTATGAATGTTTATACTAAAAATGAACTGGCATCTATGCAAAGAAAGATTTCTTTGCTTATACCTGCAGGTTATTTTACAGTTAATAAGCAAGAGGAAGCAAGCCATTTTCTAAGTAAGCTGAAATAGGACAGACTTCCTTCCACACTTCCTCTTATGCACCTACCTTGGCTGCTCCATCCAGAGATTTATTATAAGAAACACTTGCCTCTACAGACTCTGCATTTGGAGCCAAGCTAACTATGACTGGAAGCACAGGGTACAGAAAACAACCAAGTTTAGAATTCTTCTATATAGATGCCATGGTATGGACTAGGAGGGGCCAGAGTATAAAATACATTGAGATTCCTTCCCACTAATAAAGGAACAATTGAGTTTCACTAGAAGTAATTCCTGATCTTCCCTACTTTTCAACTCTGGAGCTTTTCATTAATCTACTGTAACACATACTAGAATAAAGACACTGCAGTTGGCTCAATCCATTTTTGAGCTTAATTTTAAGCTGAATTTTATAACTAAGGTATGCAAAATTTACATCATCTAAATATGGACAGTTCTCCAGAGACACTTTGGAAAAATAGTACTACCTGATTTACATGAAAGAAGCCAGAAGCTTGACACAGTGAATCAATTTCACTTCAAATGAACTTGAAATGCTTACAGAACATTTTAAGTCTGTACAACAACTAAGTCTCTCAAACCAAAAGAAAGTGGTATCGTAGTGATAAAATGTAAAAAGTCCCTTCAATAGAAAAACATCAAATTAATAATGCAATGCATTGCAAGCATTATAAACAGAAATGCATATGACCTTTTTCCCAGCAAATCAAATCCCAGCTTACAGTGCAGTCTACCAAGCAGCAACACTAAGGATTTTTGGCACGTTTCTCAGTGACTACCTAACCACGTTGTTTGGATTATAATTCAAAATTAAAATAAACACTTAAATTTTACTCTTTTTAGTAAGTTTTATGTCCTAGAAACAGCTCAGACTTAGCAGCATGCTCAGCTTTCCAAGTGACTGATCTCAAGCAGGAAAGAGGAAGACAGGCTACAAAAGATGAGATCCTATCTCTCTTTTTTTAAAATGCCTTTATGATATCATATCACATCACCTGTTCATCTGTTTAGCCAGTTCTATAATGACAATTTTTAATCTTAATTTCAGTTTATTCTTGAAGCTTTTCTCTTCCTATGCTGCTGTGCTTCAGGATACCTGGACAAACTGAACTGCAGTAACTGAAGATGGCGCTAAAGCCTAAATAACAGAGGAACATTTAGTTCCCAACTGGAAAAAAAAAGAGGAATGGTTTGCTCCAAGTATTTAAAAAGCACTATTTGGATGGGGACAGCACACAAAATGATTATTCACAATCATTAGTTGTTATGGTGTTTATAGACTAAGCTGTATATTTTGTGTGACTTTTGCTTGTTTTTTCAATGTCTCTTGGTACTCACACAGCACTACACTAAATTGTCAACATTACAGAAAAACAGCATCAGCTTAAGAAAATATAATCACTGAAAATGTATAAAGTCTTTGGCTCTGTAAAGTACAAAAATTCATTACGTTTTATAGGATTCCACACTATTCAAGCTACAATTTTGTAAACCCTACTCATGTATTTTATACCCTGCTTTTCTTCCCAATATAAGAAAAATCGAAACCAACATGCCCAGAAAGGTCATACTGCAAACCATGACAGTGGATGTAGAGATTCTTTCTGGAACAAATCCATTATGGAGCCTAAATGATATCCTGAAACTGTATCAGTAGTCAATGTTTGAATGTGTTAACCTGAACTTGTCTACAGCCACTAAGACGCGAGGAGGAAGTACAGAAATTTATGTGTCAGACTCCACAGTTTCCAAAAAGATATTGCAGTGTTTACATTTTTAAAAAATAGAATAAATTGGGTTGCTAATTATATGAAAATAATCAACAAAGCCAAAGCATCAGCAGTTCTACAGCTTTTGCTGAAAAAATGTCTCAACATATTTTCAACAAGAAAAGATGTAGCCTTCTTACACAGGAGGATAAACCTAATCTGGTAATTATAATTCTGGATACCTAATAACAATTTAAAAACCTATTTTATTTAATTTTTTAACAAATTGCAACATACAGTGAATTTATAAGGGTACAGAGAACCTACTAATGTCATGCTCTGCTCCAGTATGGACAGGAAATGGAGAATATAGCTTACAAAGCCATCACTATCACCAAGGCTGATAAAATAACAATTTGGCTTTGATCAGGGTATTTTTAAAATTGTCTTCACATTGATTTTAGTAAGCTCAGCATATATTATTGGGTGTACTTTACCTTTTTATCCCCCTGCTTTCGCCTCCGTAGCCCTGGTCTGTAATCATCTCCAAAGCGCAGAAAGTAATAGTAAGAAACTAGGCGTTCTATAGGGTCTCTTATGACATTTATGTAAATTGGTTTCTTTTTAACACCAAATCTAAAGTAAAAGAGGAAAAAACATCTTTCAAAGGACAAGTCAAAGCTTCTCATCTAATACGTAAAAGCCTGTCTTTATTGCTACAACTGAAATCCATACACAGAACACATGACACTGAGAGGAAGCTTAATGATCACTTCTTTTCATCTCATACCCAGTGCACTACATGGATGGGAAAGTAAGTTCAATTTCAGTCTGCCTAAGATGATGATTTTAAGGGTTTATTATTAAAGAAACAAACAAAACAGATATATTGTCACATAAATAGATACTAAAAATGTTTACACAACCATCTTGACTCTAGTAATGCCTTAACTAGTTAAGCAGCCACATTCATGTTTATAGTAAGTACAAGGAAGTTTGATATGGAGTTCTGGTCCTTGTGAACTGGGCTTTGCAATGCTGTGAGTGGTTTTCCTGGCAGGTCTCCAGCTGTCAGAGACATTAACTCTAATAGCAGGAAGACAGAGCTCAGAGCCCATCCATAGCCTGGGTTGAATGCATACAGCTATGCTTATTAAATATAAGTCTAAGATAGTATCTGTAACCATATTAACTTTTCTATCTAAAGATATTAAATTTTTCCATAGACATTTACCCTAAGCAAATTTTGATGCCCTCCACTACAAACAGAAGCCTGATGAAATGAGGTGGTAAGCTCATACGACACAGGAGAAAAATTTAAACCACCAAACTGTTTTGTGCAAATGCTACCTTTCAATGATCTATGCTCAAGTCAGCTTTTACAATACATTCTCAGTTTTCTTTTCTTTTCCATTCGAGATATTCTGTGGCAAATTATTATGGTATCCAAATATTAAAGAGTTTATATCACAGTGGAAATTGCAAGTGTGTCAAGTGCCCTGAAGTAAAGCTAGAAGCTGGAAAAAAAAGTTCTCTTCTGTTCCTATGCAAACTGGGAAAGTGTTCTCCATCAAAAGAGGGCCATTCATGCCTAGCTTGGCTAAAACAGAGAACTCACAGTTTTAAGATGCAGTACCATGATTTTTAAAGGGGCAAATTTTACTACCAGATACTGTGCATATGAGGAATGTTAAGTTGAAAAGCTGAAGAACAGAAGTGTAGCAAAAGTAGCAGAAAGGAGGAAGTTAGAAAAAAAACAATTAACAGGCATTGCTTTTGCCAAAAACAAGCACTACAGACAGAGAAATTGTTAAAGGCTACAGAAAGAGCACTTGATTCTCCAGTGCTGCCAGTAGAGTACCAATGATTCAGGCTGGAGCACTCTAAGGCAGAACTGCTGACATCTCTCTGCATGCCAGCTGTGACTTCCCACAGTCTGCAGAGGAGAGAGGGGTGAATATTTCAACTATTCTGATGCAAAGTCCAGGCTTTGAACTTCACCCTCTTTAAACTCCACTGAAGCGCATGAGACATGCAGGTGGTGTCCCCTTCCACAGACTGCTGCAAATGCTGGGGGAGCTGTAACAAACCATTTCCATAGAGAGCAGACTCAGCCAATGAACAGCACATATCTGTGGGTTAATTGCAGATATCCAAGCCCTTAGAAATGCTTGTGCTGCATTGTACAGTCACCTGCATTTGCACATGAGCTTGAAGAACTAGTTTCAGTTACAAGTAACATAAACTTACCAGTAACATAACTTATTACTCTAACCTTATTAATAATGATAATGAATTGGCAATTGCATTGTCAAAGAACATTTTTTCCCAACTATTTACCAGAGAAAATAGAGAATAAATGGATAAGAAATTTTAAAGACAAAAAGAAAAGGGAAAAAACTTAAACTTTTATTAGCATAATTTCTACGTGGATGGATTACAATAACTTGTCCTCAATACTGTGAGTTATTGATGGAATCCAGTACTTTAATTTTCAGCATATTTTAAGAGGTACTTCTGATATTTGAGAGTGGACCTAAGTCTGATGTCCATGGATAAGGAAGCACTGACTCTTCTGAAATATTTTACACTTCTTAACTACAAGAATGTTCATTACAAGAACATACCTCACAGCCTTAAAGGTGTGGGCCTTGCCAAGCACAACCAGCGTATTCAAGATATTATTTTAATAATGAAAACCCAAAGTATGAGAAAGCAAGCTGTTGTGGGGAAAAAAAAATCACTCAGGTGAAAGGGCAACAAACAACAAAGACAAGGATAACACAGTCCTGGAGGGAAGATGCAGATGAAAGAAATCTGTGAAATTGCTTAGATGCTTTCTAGATGTAAAATATTTTAGTTTTAGGAGTTCCAGTATCTGAAAATGTTTTCAGCTTTATGAACTAATGCATAAAATAACATTCAGCTTTGCTGCATCTGAAAGCAGTTACTCAGTTCAAGCGTTTATTAATGTTGAAGCATTTTAATTTTAAAAAGTCAGAAAGGAAACTAATGAATTTTGATGTATTTTATTTGATTGACTGATTTGTCAGTAACTTTTTGCCTGTTACTTCTTGTAAACTTGGTGCTACTGGTTATTTTCAGCTACTACTGTAGCTTTTCGCATTTTCTGATAATGTACAGTATTGGGAATCCACACAGGTCTCACTTCCCCACCTCATTCTTTGTAATAAAAAGTCCAAATTAAAAATCAGAGTACATGACAGAATGAGTAATTAAAAGGAATGACTAAACAAAAGGAATTATTACATACAAAAAAGAATCTAAATAAATACTTTAATGCACAGAAACATAGAAACACTGAGTGACCATCAGCAAGAGGTAAAAGTAGCGGTTACTATCATTTGTGCAGTCAAATGTAATGAGATCTGAAAATGCCACTTTCAATTTTAAATAATTTTCCACATGCTCCAAGTGCAAGATAAAGCACTGCCTAGTAAGCATCTTAAGCAAAACTGACTTGTCAGTTCAAGGGGAGGTTTCATAAGACTGAGGTATTGAGGATCACAGCTTTAGATCCAGAAGCAAAAATAAGACAAGAAAAGAAACACATGAAAGTGGAAATAAAGATATGATCCTGAACCTTTGAAGTCAGTGGGACGATTTTTAAGATATTTTATTTAATTTAATTTTAGAAGTAGCAGCATTTAACTCCACAAGAATTATTTCAATGCTTTTTCTAGCAAATCAAACTATTATAGACCAGAAAACTACTTAAAAAGATAACTTTTCATATTTTGATAAAGTGTAAAAGGATACTAAGGTAGAGAAGAATTACATAACTTAAGAGGCAGGTGGTGTTACTCTTTATATGAAGCATTTTTGAGAATAGGCATGTTAAACCTCCCCAAAATGGGAAGCCAATCCTAAAACCGAACTGCCAGTGCTTCAGAGAAAAGCCATGATTTTCAGCAAAACAAGCTTGGAATTTAGACAAGGAACACTAATCCCAGTATATAAACGTTTTCTTTTATAAATGAGACTCGGCTATAGTTTATCATGCAAGACAAGAAGAGCAATGGGTGAAGATCACCCCCAAACTCCGGCACTCCGCGAGGGCCGGGGCGCGGCTCCTGCCCACGCTGCAGTTCCCAGCTGGAGCGCTGGAGGGCGCGGCTGCCCGGCCGGAGCCCATGGGAACGTACTTGGCGAAGTCCAGGTACGAGACGTGGCCGTGGTAAAATCCCGGCTTCATCTCCTTCCACGAGGTCACGTTCTTCACAAAGCGCACCTGCGAAAGCGGGCAACAAAACGTGTTTCTGTGTGCCTCATTACATTCACCCATACACGCTCTTTCCTGGCTTTTGATCTTATAATGCATTCGATTAAAAACTCTATTTTGAGTATTATAAAAAAAAATTGTGCCCCCTAAAGTAGACTTTCCTGCAGCATACAGATGACTGATTTTAGGTCATCAGGATTTAATGATCAGAAACTAACAAAAGCAGAATACAGCAATCAGAAGGACAGGCCAAGGAAACCTATCACAAAAATATCAGCAAAACAAACATTTATTTTTTTGTCAGTCCATTTTATTTGTAATTGGAAAGGAAGGCAGAATTCTTTCAGTAGAAATGCAAGTACATATTTTATGGAATTGTCAGATCTGATATTCAGTCCCTCAAATAAAAGTGTACCAGATTTACAGCATGTTCTTAAACCTATTTTATTGGGATATAAGAAACAAATCTGATGGGTTCATTTGCTCCTCCATCCCAAAATGCAATGCACAAATAATCCAGAAATGTTATAAATGCATGCAATGTAAATCAGATCTACAGTTTGCTATTTTGAATAGTCATCTTAAGCCTAACATTTCAGTGAAATTTTCATGCTAAAGCATGAAGTAGCCCTTAAATGAGGGCTGATAGAACACTTATTGGCAAACTTCACAAAAATAGGAATAGCTTTACATTTCAAAGAACAAAATAAGACACATGCCCCAAACCAGAGAGTGTGATCAAATTAAGTGGGACATGCAAATCCTGATAGAGCTTGGCTTTACTAGATGAACAGAATATTTTAACATCAAAGCAAGTAACTGAAAGTTATTCCAAAACTAGTGAATTGGATAATAAAGAGAGGATGATAAATTTATACTGCCTGAGCTGTTTGACAAAGATATGCCATTTCTGAGGCTGTGAATTAAAAGATAATGTTCTCTGCACATCTGCACTATCTTTTCTGTTATACAGAGAAACAGATAACTACAAAGATTCTAAGGTGAGACAAGAGACACAAAAAAGCAAAGTTTGAGAACTCAAGACAACACACTAACTACCATTCTGTAAGGTCAAATGTATTGAAAGTGTCCTGAAGCTTAATATTTACTACTTACTATAACCTCCCAGTTGAAGATTTTAAGAGGTGAGACTGGCAGGCTGCTCTGTCTTCAATTGTGCAAAACTCATGGTCTATGATTTAAGAGGTTGGTAACCTTATTTCTTTAAACACTGGCTCTTGGACTCTTAGATAACAGAAATTTATTCCAATTTTTAATAACAGGTAACATTAATTTTTTTAGTATACAAGTTTCACAGTTTGCGGTATTACAAAATTTAAAGCATATATTGCACATTAAAATGGTGGCAAATCTAGCTGAAAAGCACTGCACAATGTTACACAATGGTGTTTTATAAACTGCATTGGCTTTCTGTCTGATTTTGTCCATAGCACAAACTGTTAATATGGGACTTTGAATCCAGTTGAAATACCTTTACCAGTAAATAAACTGAAATAAACCACAATTCCATTCACTGTATCTTTCCAAAATAATGACAAAATATTTTCAGTGGAGAGCCTCAGCTACAAATACTTCTTTACCTGGCAATGATATTTCCTAAATACAAAATATCAATCACCTTTCCTTCCCTCACCTATAAACCCCAAAATGTCATGGCTGGTTGATACAATTCTCCAAGTAGACCAGCTATGCTATTTAGGCTGTGCAGTGCAGCTCACATATTAAAGTGTTCATTTACATTTCCATGAATGAGCTTTTTAAAATCTTGTATCATCTAACATGATTTCTAATTCATTTCAGTTTTTAATAGACTTGGACTAGACATAAGGTAATGTTAAGTACAAAATCCTAAGTTTTTTTGTTTTAGATCCCCATGCCAGCCATCTGGCATCAAAATGTAGATGTTTCAGGCCTCTAACACCAGCCAAGCAAAGAGAAGGCTAGGAAGGTTTTATAACACACCTGTGACATTTACATCTCTCTTAGGACAGACCTGCAACATGCTGAGCCCTGAGAACTATAGTTTTTAACACCTATAACTAGCCTGCAGGCAAGAGATTTTTTTTTTCTCTCATAATTTGCAGCATTCCAAAAGCCAGAATTGTTCCAGGTCACGGACAGCCTAATGAGTCTGGATTCACACATTTTAGGTCAGAGATTAATATTGCTCACTGCTTCATACTGTTAAATATGATCAATTTTACTTTTCTTTTCAGGGCTTAGCAGATACTGTAGCTTTCAAGAGACAGAGCAAGCTTCTCCATCAGAGCCCAATTGAATAAAATTTGAGGTGACTTTAAAAGTTCACATAGATGTGAATGGAATTCTTGTGAAGCTGTTTCAGGGTGCTTTTATATAATCAGCTACAAAGTTGCTTCACAGCCTTCAGTAAGTGAGAAATCAGCTGAGGTTCACTGAATTAAAAAGCCCGATCAAAGGTACTCCAGGGGCATAAGATGTCCTGACAGGTAAGTTAAACACATTCAGTTTCTAGGACAGTAGGAATTTAAAACAAGTCCCAGTGAGCCAAAAGAAGGAAAAACCCAACCAGCATACCAGGTCTGAGAAAAAGCCATGTGTGCAAACAAAAGTGATGCTGTAAGTTCTGATCTCTGTCCAGTAACTGCAGCCATCAGTGCCTCTTCTCTAGAGTCTGACTGCACACTCTCACATGAACTCATGCACACCCAGACACACTCACAGTCACACACACTCACACATGCACACACAGATGCACGTGTGCACACGTCTGCAAGCGTGTGTGTGTGATTGTGAGTGTGTCTGAGTGTATCTGATGTGTGTGCATGTGACTGTGCTTGTGTCTCAGCGTGAGAGTGCCTGAGTGTGCAAGAGTGTGTGTGTGCTAGTGTGCAAGAGAGAGTGTGTATGTGTGCTAGTGTGTGTGTGTGTGTGTGTGTGTGTCTGAGCTGGCTCTGACCCACAGGTCTGGAATGCTGGAGCAGGCAAGCAGCACACCTTTGGCTGCATGCCATGAACAGCCACAAGCAAGCTCAAGGCAAGGACAGCTGAGAATCAATTCTGTGAGATGGTGAAAAGATTGAGTTCACCAGTTCAGCCACAGTACAGCCAGGATACCTGCCCTGCAGTAGAAGTTCTTTCTCAGAAGGAAAAGTACAATTGGCACATTCAGCACTTGTACTCAGTAGATCATCTAACTCCAAAAGAAAAGTTCTTAAATGTCCACAAACACATGACAGTACTTTCATTTCTTGCAGAGTTGCTGCAGGCTTTTCACTTGTTCCACTTCTGACAGCCACTGAAACCTCCACTAGCAGAGGAAATAAGTACCACTAAAGCAACTATGACTGTGCTGTCCTCTGAGAGACCAACTGTTTTAGAATGCACTTGGAAGCAAGATAATATATTTTCATGGTGCTCTTTAGAGGAAAAATTGAGAGAGAAACTGAAGGAGAAAAAAACCCAAGAAACAGAAATCAGCAAGCTGAGGGACTGAAACACTGGATAATTGTAGCATTAATAACAGTACAGAGAATGTTCTCACACCCACTTTTTAAATAATATATCAAGAATACACGCTGTAATGCAGAACAGTAATTTAATTTTAAGTGCTTTCAATGACAACTTCACCATGTAACAAAAGCAATAAAGTTTGTGTGACTGGTATGCCATCCTGAGAGCTGTAACACAGGCATTCTTGTATGGACAAAGTGTCACTGCTGAAACGTGCAAGCAGCAAGTAAAACTCAACCAAACAACTACTCTGACTTAATTAAGAAAAGCACACAGGTCAGAAATGCAACATGAGCAACACAGCATTCAGCTTGCTGCAAAGAAAAGGCCCATACTGGGGAAAGAGGGGCAGCTCCCAGGATCCTGCTGCCACAGATGCTGCAAAAGAAAGGAGGATTGCTGGGACAAGTTACACCTGAAACTAAAATGGTGTTAGCAACTCTTATCAGATTATCTCAAATCAGATACATACTATTTTGGAGTGGATTTTAAATATCATTTGTTTCATACTGCATTCAAGAAGTAAAGGTTTCACATATGGGCAGAGAACTTAGAATCTGTTAGAGAATCACAGTAGTTTGGAAAAAGTACAGCCGAAAAACTGCACAAAAGAACACTCTCTAACTTACAAATTTCTGTCAGGCCCAAAGCAATCTTCACCTTACCCAGGGAGATTTGCTTTAACACACAATATCACTAACAGAACAATTTTGTCTCTATGATATGTTTATATATTTTACTACTGGCACATAAACACCTAATGCACCCAAGTGAGCTATACTGCTGGAGGTGGCATATGAATATGCTGTGCTAGTCCAAGCCCACACAGAGTAAACATCATCAGCTACCACTCAGCACCCCTGCCATCTCTTGAATTATGCACTATGACTTGCAATGGCAAGGTGTTCTCTCCATGTATTGAAGGTGAATAATTATTTCTGCATCTTTGAACAACTATGCAATATATGAAGTTCTTCATTGTCAGCATCTCCTAGTTAATGGCCACCAAAAAACAGTAACAAGTGTCTAATTAAACTACATAATTTACCACCTTGGACAAGAGCATAGTATCAAATGAAGGTAGGACTGACAGTATTGTGGACATGCTCAGCACAGACAGATTTTCATTTTTCAATAGATTATTATTAGAGGGAAGATGAAGAGTTTCTATTTTATAAAACTAAGCTAAGCCAGCAAAGAACAAGTTTTATTTGAATTAAGTTCAAACAGGAGTAGAAATTTAAGGTAGCCTGTGTTTAATTTATACCTACTCAATGACTAGCTCTCCTATCCTGCAGGACAGACCTCCATTTCAAAAGACACCTTGACACAAACAGAATTTGATGGGAAATGCAGTACTATGATACCTGACTTGAGTATGATTTTTAATTAATAGGCTTATTAAATCTTTTGAAAAATCACCCTGCTCTTAGTGCACAGGTCTTAGTACTTGTTCTATGCAGTGGACAGGATTATAGTGATGACTACCAGACTTTACTATCAGAGTAATCATGTATGACAGTACCACCTTCATATGTAGGAAACAATTTTACAGGAGGAAATACTCCACAGTAACACAACTCCACTATCACAGAACAGATTCCAGTATCACCCAAGTCCATTATTTCCTCTGCACAGAGATCCCTACCTCAACCCCTGCCCCAGTCCAGTTGTGCTGAGCTGCTTCAGCCTGCAGACATGCACTTAGAGGAGCTGGAAGGCTCAGTGCTGACATGCTGCAATGCAGAGCAGCTCCTGCCTCTGCTGCATATCAACTTAAGTGATCAGCATACAACCGGCAGCAGAGAGCTCAGAAACATTTGTTCTACAGGCAGGGATGATGACAGTGATGTTTCAGATCTCTAACCTGGATTCTCTGCAAGTGCACTCATGGCAGCCAAGGAAATACTAATGAAAATAAACCAATAAACCTACTTCCTCACCCCAGCCTAATAAAAAACACAGCACTGAACCCTCATCATCTTTTTAAAATACTCTTTTTAAAATACAGTAGCCATGGTCATTTCTAGTCTGGTACTACAGTGATTTTAGTGAGGATTTTAATGGATGCTAAGTGACCCGTCCTTTGCAGAGCAAGCTATTTACAAGCACTTTTCTATATGCTTTTTATCACCTGTGAGACCTGACCAGCCCCAGTACTAAAGACACAAGTCTAGCCCTGACAGCATGGCACAGTGCCTGCACTACTCAGAGAGCAAATTGCCTAAGACTGCATTCACTGCAGATGGAGATGACAGACAAGTTGTATTACACAGCCAAAACAGTTATAACAACGAAGGTCATTTCTACCCTAGTCATGCCCCCTTTTTAGCTTCATTTTTGTCCAATAAACAGACACTTACCACCTCCAGTAGCCAAGCAAAAACCTCAACCTATTAAGAAATAATATTCTCTACAAAGAAAATATGAAAACATTAGATTTCATTTATATTGGAATATGTGACAAAGAAGTTAAATACATCAGATGACTCAAGTTTACATAGCAAACGTTTTTTCTTATGCTCTTCCCTGGTTTCATAAAGACATCCTGCATTCAGCAGTTTACCTGATCTTGCAGAGACATAACAGGGTTATTTTTGGTTGTATTGATATGTAGAACATGGTATTTGTTCTTCGCACAGAGATCATAGGCAATATTTGTGAAAGATGTGCTGGCAGTCTTGGGAACTCTGTTGTAAATAATCACCACGTCATCTTCCTCATCCAGTGTCACATCTTGTCGGGGACCATCGACTGTGTGACGTTGCTCTATTTCTCTGACTTCATGCCTTGCAATAGCCCTTTCTGTTAAGGAAGAAAAATATAAAATTTCAATGTAAGTCTCACCAATCTGAAGTTCAAACCTTAGAACACAATCTGGTGAAAAGCACTAACTCCTGAGCAAGAAAAGAAACACTAGCTGTAGTATGTATTTCTGACATATCTGAACAAAACTTTATCAATAAAAATGAAGGAAAGACGGTCCAACACAGAACACGAAGCCTAGAAAACAATATGCTTAGGGAACACAGACCATACTCTGTGACTCACACTGATGTCATTTTCTTTAGACTCACCATCTCTAAAGGAAAGTCTATAATGCACAATGAAATGGTGACATCCCTGAAATATCCCACATGATTTCTACAATACCCCTAGTTAAAAATTATAGTGGAAGAAGATTTTATTAATTTGAAGTTTGACAAGAATAGAAGCAAGAGATGCTTACAAAACAGGTAACAGACTCAGGCTTTTTTCTGTTCTAGACAAGTATGTACTTTAGTACAATTTGTAATACAGATGTCAAAACACTTTTTCTCACTCATGTGGTGATGCTGCCTTTAATAATGTATTTAAAGAAATCCACATTTATCAATAGTGTAAGCTGAAGTTGATATCACAAGAGTAACCTGTAATTCTCTGTATTATTTTCTTTTACAGGGTATAGCTCTTTATAGATGACACACTTTTAACAGCAGCAGCAGCTCTTGACCTTTACTTCCCTTGATTCTTTAGGCAGCTTCTTCTATTCTCTTTCACCAAATCTCTTTAATTATAATATAAAATCACTTCTAAAGCAGAATCATCAAGCTGTGAATAGCCTACCCTGTAATTCCACGTAAATTGTCTTAAACCACAAAATTCCATCTGTCTGAAATGCTTCAAAGCTTAAACTCACTCACTCTCTCATATGCTCATATCTCACACCCCATAACTAAGTTACATCAGTAGGAAAATGTTTGTAGGAAATGCTTATTGAGTGTATCTCAATTTTCCACATGACATCTGTTGCTCCCCACTACATCAGTCACAGTTTTTGCTCCTTCCTTTCTCATTTGCTACCTCTCCCATCAATGCTGGCAGACATCCTATTTTGGAAAGAGATGAGGCAACAGACTCAGGTTTCATCTCTCTGAAGATGGCTACAGAAGAATGGGGCTAGCAAGTCTCCCCTTCCTGCCAGTAACAGATTAGAGGAAGCATTCAGTAGGGAACACAGTTAACCATGTGGCTGCCCAAGGCTACATGGATAGTGAATACCACCTAGAGAGGCTGAAATGAAACACATTTGGTTGGTATTTTCTACACCAGAGTAGTAGATCTAAGCCAGATTTAATCATAGCTGCACAGAACCCCAGGGCTGATAACACTTACATGGAAGAGAGAAACATTTGTGAGAAAGAGACATGATTTGCAAGAGGATTTATGAGAAGCATTCTCTAATGAGGTATTTTAAACCTTGATGATTCAAGAATTAGTGTGATAAGGGCACTTTAAAGACCATGCATAAGATATAAGAGCTGCATGATTGGATGCAATTAGCAGAAAGGCTATTGCATCCAACCACCTTCAGCTTCCCATTGCAAGGGGGAAAGCAAGAACTCAGGTAAGGAGCAGAACCTTCACAAGCTTGATGTATACACAGTCCTATTATGGAAAAAAAAGGAGGCTTTAAATTTCAAGCTGAAACAAAAACTGATCTTTAAGACGAAGCACTGAAATCACCTTTTTGAAATAGTTGCAATAGTTAAAAAACAAAATCTGAAATGAAGTGAAGGATATAAACTGCTGAAGCGCAAGAGGAAGCACCTGGAAGTGTCTAACCTGGTCAGCCATTCTGAGGGCCTATTTCATTCTAGTCTACAGAATGTAGTAATACAATAATGAAAATTGCAAATTTTGTAAAAGTGCACATTTTTTCCCACTCACAAACTGTTAGCAGGAAGTCAGGAAGCTCCTCTGCTACTTACTGAAAAGTCAGTTTAACTTTTAAAATTATGCATATCATTTTTTTTTATTTATAAGGTTCGTTAATTTATTATTTGGAGATGGGAAGAGGTCCAGTAATGGTAAGATGCAACTGAGAATAGTCTTTGGGATACCCATGTAATCAGAAGTTAGAGAATTTGAGGAGTTAATGGGCATTTGATTAACTACTTCATTTGTTCTTCTATAAAATTTAAATAATCTTGAAAGTAGAAGCCCTGTAATGGCTGAAAAATGAACAATACTTCTGTATGTTTAGAAATACGGTAGAAAATGCAATGCTTTAAAGACATTTGACATGGGGAAGATAGGGAGGTGTATTTACTAAATATATCATGTTTACCAAAACACCTCCTTAGATGACAGCCCTGCGAATATAACTTTGATTACAAGAACCTCTACATAAGGTTGGACTGGTTTCACTGAAAACAATTTTTAAAAATTCTAAAAATCAGGACGGGTGATTTCTTTCATCTCAGAGATTCAGTGGACAAAATATCCCGAAGTCTTATTGCTTTCACTGCATTCTATTTAAACTTTGTTATAGGAAAAATACTTATGCAAAATTATTAAGAGCCAAATGCTTAAACAGGGTTAAGATCATACACTCTAAATTTCACATTATATAACTACACCCATTTTAAAAGATATTTTAAGTAAGTGATACCCTTTGAGTACAAGACAGGTTTTCATAAAACTATAATACAGGATAATTTTAAGGCATAAAATATTCTGTTTCACACTGTTTTACTACTGCATGTTGAATTTCCCCAATTGTAATACACAATATAATTGCTACACCCTTGGGATAAACTCTGTTCTGTCATCTGCAGCTGTCCTGCACACAAACTTTCATCAACTGCAAAGACAGTTTGCACATAGGCAGTACCAATATGATCAGTGTAATAACAGTTGCTGAACTGATTATTTACCAGCAGATGAATTACTTGCAGAAAATCCTTAGTTGGCTGAAGTAGCTGCTTTGTAAACAGTAGAACAAGTTTGTTTTCTCACCCATTTGTCTACATGTTCTTCTAAATCTGCCTTCATCCTATTTCTGTAACTCAGCCTCTTGGCATGACCTACATTTCTTGAGCCATCCTCTTGTAGCAATAAACCACAAAATATCATGGCTAGCAACAAATTGGTTTGCCAGTCAGATGCTACCAGAAAATAACACATAATGGGCAAGTTATGTCTTCTCCTTCAGCAGGAGCATTAATAGCAACATTTCATCTGTATGCCATCACTTCAAGGTTACTGCCCTTTCAAGTCAAAGCAGTTTCTCAACAAGCTCAAAAGTTACTAACAAGAAATACTTGGAGAGAAATGGACAGGCCAAGGATCCCAACTAATAAAATCACCTGTGAAAATGCAGTGGACCCATACATACTTCTAAAAATATTTGAAAACCCAGCTGAACCATATTTACATAATTACAGAAACAAATCACCCAAATGAACAATATTTAAATAATTATAGAAACAAATGACTGGGATCGTAAGCAGTTATTAGTCTACATTCCTTGCACATTCAAACAGATAAATGTCTTAGGTAAAACAAGCTTATTAGCATTGACTTCAAATCCAAGCATTAACTGCATAACTGCATACAAAATCTTCCCAACGAAAATAGTGTGTCATGGATTCTAACAACTGAAAGATTAACAAAACCAAACATTTCAAATTCCTCACATTTTTCACAGAAGCATAAGAACCTCCTGGGATTTCTGAACAAAGAAATCTATCAAAATCAGAAATTCTTCTTTACCTTCTAACTTAGCACTTACCACTCTTGATGAAAGACACATTTAGAGCCTTGCTGGTTGTCAAAATCAAGTTCAAGTAACTGAAAAAAATAATTCAGAGCATACGGCTCTACTTTCCCAAACTATGTTCTTTGTCCTCTACACCTATTTTCCTTTTGTATGTATCTACAGATATTATTTAGGCTCTCTCTTCAATCTGACTTATGTGCCTGCCATGCTTCATTGTGAAAGTGCCCACCCAGACAAGGAAAGACTCAGTCTTAAAATAAATTTTAGCTCAGCAGCCTTCGAGTGTTGCCCAACAGAAGAAAAAGATGTGGATTCAAACTTCAGCCTCACTGGCTTGAAGGGAAGGAACTGGACAGCTGGCCTGGACAGCACCGCCCCTGAGCAAACTGTTGCTGTATATTTACATTCTGGACACCCCATTAACCAACAAACAGGCTTCCTGGAGTTGGGAGCACCAGGTAAGCCAGCTGACTTGGTGTCTCAGCTTGCTTTCCACCTTGCTCCCAGGCCAATTAGGCATGCAGCTCTCAAGCTGTTTCCCTGCCCAAAAGCTTTGTTAAATGCATGACTGGCCTAAATACTGAACCCAAGCAGGACTGCAAACCTACTCACTATGGACTCCATTCTCCTCTGACCAAGAATGAAAACTGAACAACAGCTAAAATAGAATCATAAATCTGTAGAGAAGTTGATGTTTGGAATCATTTTCCACACCCACCATATAGACACAAAGTTTAGGTATCCCAGCAAGCACGGTTATTCCCAGAAATAATATACATACTTAAAGCAAATACTTCAATAAAACAGCATCCAATAAAACAGAAAAAAATAAAATACTTAATTCCATCAAATATGAAAATTTCAAAAGTTTGTAAATGCTTTAAAACAGAAGGTGTATACTTAAAACACATCTTCAGCTCTAACTACAGCACCACTTCCATGACTCCTGAATACTGCACATAATGCTAACTATAAAGATAGCTAAAGATCTGTGGAAGCAAAGTTTAGGCACCATGATGTAGTATATTTAAAAATAAGCATATGTCAAGCAGCTCCATAAGCTTTCCAACTTCAGATTGAACTGTTTTGCTTGACCCAAGTGTTGACTTCAAGTTGATGAATTAGCATCAGACCAAACACAACAGTCACCATTTATTTTTGTTGTCTCCCAGTCACTTGCAATTTCTTGTTTCCTTGGGACAAGTAAACAGCTGTAAAGTGAAGGATGTAATCACACATGGAAAAGCTTTGTGACTTTTCA